ACCCCAAAGTTTTTTTTAAAAAACACTAAACATACACATATAAACCACAGATTTCTCTGCCGCTCCAGGTTTTCCACAGCGATGCAGCAGAGGGGGGGACAGCCACCATCTGAGTCATAACGGGTTGATTGAATATCACATTTATTACGGTTGAAAAAGAAAAAGTTTCCAAGTTTAGATTTAACTGAACTGATTACGGTAGTTTCTGAACAGTAACTAACAGTAAAAGTGCTGATCCTTCATGTTGCTACTAGCATGTGCTAAATGAAAATGGGTGCTTCCTTCTTCTTCTTTAGATTTCAACAGCAGCTTGCATCCATTATTGTTGCACTACTGCCATCTACTGGATCCTAATATCTATACCTCAAATTCTCATAATGATCCCAGTACTATTTAAAAAAACTAAAATCTTCTTTTTCCCCTCAATGCTATTTAACTGATCAACAACATTCTCAAATTTTAATTCCCTATTAAAACCTAATTCTGTTTTAATGGCGCTTTCTTCTTTTATTTCCAATTCTGACTTCCAATGATTCACTTCCTGCTAAAGAGCCCCCTGGTGGTTGAAGAAAAATCCACATATAAGCCGCACCGGGCTGTAAGCTGCATGGTTCAAAGCTTAGGGAAAAAAATAGCGGCTTATAGTCCAGAAATACGGTATATGAAAAAACTCTGAATGCTCTCTGGTATTGTTCAGGGGGCCGCACCAAGTGTGGAGGCGGGCCGGATCCGGCCAGCGGGCCGTAGTTTGGGGACCACTGTGTTAAACTGTAATAACAGTCATTTGTTTGGTGAAATATAATGCATTTATTAGATGTTAATATTATTTACTCAGTTAGTCGATTCCCAGTGAAAAACCACAAACAGCAGACCTGACCAGAAACGCTAAATATACCTGAATATGCATCAATACGCTCCATATTGGCGCCACAGCAGAAGCTAACAGGCTTGTCCAGCTGGAGTTTCAGCCAATCAGCATCAAGGAAAATAAACAGAGCTCCTGGATTGGCTGGTTTAAAATACACCAGCCAATAGCGTCCGCTAGTGTTTTCCTGCTTCCTGGGCGGGGCTTACCCTGGACTGGGCGGGGCTTACCCTGGACTGGGCGGGGCTTACCCTGGACTGGGCGGGGCTTACCCTGGACTGGGCGGGGCTTACCCTGGACTGGCCCCGTCCCAAGTACAGTACATATACAGACGTTTCAGTTCATGAGTTCATATCTGTAGTTTAGAGGAGCCGACCCGTCAGGCCCGGTCTGGTCACACGGGACAGGCTCAGAACAGCTTCTTTTAGTACCAGTGAAGCTGGTCCAGACCTGTGAGCCTGTTCTGTGGTTCTGACCGGGAATCTTCAGTTATTTGGGCTTTCTTTGTTTTCTCATCATTTTCTGTTTCTTCCTCCTTCCAGACTCCTAACTGGGCTGCCCAGGACTCTGGGTTCTACTGAGCTGGACCCAGCCTTCATGAAGATCCAAATGGCTTTAATAACATCTGCTGATCATGACCAGTTTAACCAGTAGCTGGGTCTTTGTGTTTATGTCTCTAATTTATTCAGTTTTTATGGATTATTATGAAACTTTGACTTGCATTAAATGTTTGGTTCTCTGGATCTGCAGCTCCTTCATTTGGCCACCAGATGGCAGCGGTGGCCCACGGCCGCTGCAGCCTGAGAGGCTCTGCAGTGGAGAGGGGCAGCGGCCCGGTTCTGGTTCTGGAGCGGCTCTGGTTTCACCGTCCCTGCTGCCAGCAGAACCTCTTCATGTCTGCTGGGTTAAAGTTTTCTGTCAGGCTGAATGCGACCCAGCAGAACCGGTGGTCTGACTATCAGTGCTACCTCGTCAGATTTTCCTACCGTAGCACAGACAGATAGATAAGTCTATCTGTCTGTCTGTGCTACCTGTCTAAAACTCCTGCCGTCATATTTACAAACTAAAACTACATCAGGTTGTTAATATTACATACATTGGTAACATTATTTGAGTGACTGAAGTGGAAGCTTAGGAGTTCTGGTTAGCTTAGCATTGGATCAATTTATATACATGTATGTACTAATCCTTTACTAGAATATCCTACCTGTTAAAAAAGACTTTAAATACAGAGGCGTTTGTAAGAATGAAACAGTATCAGACAGGGGAAACTGATTTTATTGGAATTAAATTAAACGCATACAGATCACCGCAACTCTTTTTTTGCATTAATATGTTGCATGTCTGTTATCAGCAGCAGCCACGAGTCACCGAGCTGCGCAGGTCACTGAAATGATGGGATATGATTCATACACACACTAACATTACAGCTTCCATCCCACATAGTATCGCTACCAACATCTATTTAGCAAGGTTAATAAAAAGTGTTAACAGGGTTCATGGGCAGCACAGATTGTTAGAACAGCTGTTCAGCTTCACCCACTGATTTAGCTTTTTATTTGCTGATTTCTTAATATGTTTCTAAAATAAATCGCTCCAGTTAACTGACTGGAAAACAGTTTTTCTCTTTCTACTTCGATACATAAGCTCCATCAAGTTAAGTAGGAAGTTGATTGTGGCGCCATCTAGTGTTTGCAAGAACAAACTGCAGACTTCAAAATACGAGAGAAAGAGCTGAAGCAGGGGGGTCCAAAGTGGGTCCTGGAGGCCCGGCATCCTGCATGTTTTAACGCATCTGGATCAAATGACGCTCATTAGAGGCCTGAGCAGAACACTGACCTGCTGAGGAGGGTGTTCCTACCAGCAGGGAGGGAACATGCAGGATGCCGGGCCTCCAGGACCCACTTTGGACCCCCTGAGCTAAAGCTACTGGAAATCCTGGCTGTTCCGGCACCGTCAGCAACCTCAGGCTACGTTTCATTTGCTAGCTCAATACATTGCTTAATATTTAGCTTGAAGATAAATATTTAGCTAGCATGCTTAGTTTGGGAATCGCTGGGTCAGATTATAGTTTAAGTGAAGATTCTGGTTCTGCCGGACCGGGCCTCATCCGGCTGGCGGTTCTGGTATGGGGTTGCGTTCTGATGAGCAGGGCCGGCCCAGGCCTCCATGGGGCCCTCTAGTTCTGTGGACCGGCTGCAGTCAGCAGTCCGATCATCAGGTCATTCACACACCTGCTATAAACTGACTGCATCTCTGGCTGTTTACATTATATACATGTATAATATAGGACACATTTATTGGCCACTGATTTACCAACCAGTTGATTTCTGGGAGCCGATTTCCTTAATTTTGGGGCATCGTAATCGGCCGATACTTACATGTGAAGCTGATCTTATCCCCTGATCTTCATCAGCAAATTTTCTTGGCTCAGCCTTTATAACAATAATACATATATGTACATATGATTACATGCGGTCTAATCATGTTAACTACTCACAATAGTTATCAGCAATGATTTACCATGGCAGCTATGGTTACCTGCTACTATGTGATCAGAGTTTTAAGTTTGATTCCCTTTTTTAGCTTTTCTGTGTGATTCTAAATTTCCTCCAAGTGACAGGATGGATTATTGCAGCTGGACGCACCGAGAACCTGGAGATTTTCCTTTAAATAAAAGAAGAAAAGAATAATTATTCTATGTTTTATTATCTAACTATTAAATTAGAGAGAAAAAAGATATTTTGTCGAAACGTCTTGTGCGTAGCGCAGTGCTCCCTGATGACAGTGGCTATTTTCAGAACCTGCTCCGCTGACTGACCGGGTCCCACCGGGCCACCGGGCCGTGTTGGTGACACCATAAGGTAGGCTGGATTTACGGTGTGACAGATGGTCAGAACACCGGTTCTGCTGATCAGGTCCAGTCAATCCATGACTGGATCTCTTTGTTCAGTTGTCAGTTCTGGTCCATTTGCCCCTGCAGACGGATAAAGGGCCGTTATCGGGTCAGCGCCGTCTGTCCAAAGATTCTGTTTGGCTCATTTAAAGCGTCTGGGGAGAGTCAGAGGTCAGAGGTCAGATCCAAACGTTCCACCTGGATCTGAAGGAACGATTCCTCCGCAGTTAGAGCAACAGGAAGTCAGTTCCTGGTTCAGCCAATCAGCCATCAGAACCGGCCAGTTTGGTTTTATCCCACTTCAGGGAAGAAGTTCATTGAGCTGCAAGGAGCAATAAAACGGCCTAGTTAAAGAAACCGTTCTCCCAGCATGCTGGGCAGTAAAATCTGCTGAAACAGAGACATGATGCAGCAGAACCGTCTGGCTCTGGTTCTGGTTCTGCAGGCCAGAGAGACCCAGCATTGGGTTGGTGGGGTTCCACTTCTGGTTCTTCTGGAAACCCGGTTCTGAGAACCGACTGACGGCCCGTTTGGGTTCACAGGAAGAAGAAGCTGAAAGAGAAGCTGTGGCCCGGTCCGAGGAGGTTCTGGAGGATCCGGGTCCTGCACCAATCAGCAGTCCTGAATCGTGAGGCTCTTTAACTCCCTCCAGGCAGAAAACAGACACAAGGCAGTTACTGGCATTTAATAGCTGCCTTGAGAACTGAACAAAAACATAAAATCAGTGATTCTTGAGAATAGGAACAAAATGGGTTTTAATTTTCCCATATTATTTTTAATATTATTTCTCAACCTTATGGATGCAAATATGACAAATAATGTTTAGGAAATGTAAAGATGCTAAGGTACAGGCTCCCAGTGGCAATTTTTTTAAAATTACATTTTTAATGGACCTGACCCAGAACTTTGTCATCACCATCTGACAAAAATAAATATAAAATGATTTTTAAAATATCCCATTAGTGATATTTTTACTCATTTTACAGACAAATGCTTCTCAAGAAACAAAATAAATATTTAAAACCAAAAACAACAAAAAGGCCATCTGACGGAGTTGACACAGAGCTGAAGGTGGTGACAAACTAGTGAGTATAATAAAATACTTGATACATGTGAAGTAATGCAATTCATGTAAAATACATTAAAATGAATTAATTGCACATTTAAGTGAGATTTGACAACAATTTCACTGAAAGAGTCACAAAAACTGACGGAGTTGACAAAAAGCCAAACTACCTCAACTTATATGTTATTTATTTTTTTTTTCAAAGAACTTTATTTAAATGAAATTAGTATACATCAAAACAACATAATGAAGTATACAACACAATACAACAGCCAAGCAGCACAGCCAGGGGTGATTAGATAAGAACCTGCAGACGAACATATTGAGATTGTCCTTTGAGCCTTTTCATTTGTAGAGTCTGTTATTGATTTGATATATAGACCCATATCTTTAATGAAAAAAGAGAAACAAGGTGTTTTATTAGCAAATTAGCATTTATGAATATAAAATTTAGCAAAGAGTATTAGTAAGTTTATTACAAAGAAATGATTGGCATAATATCTATGAAATCTATAGAAACAAAATAAAACATTTTCCCAGCATAAGGAAAAATTCTTTAAAATATGGTCATTAATAAACCTGCTAAATTCTGACCAAAACCTTTGTATAAAAGGGCAGAGCCAAAAGAGATGCGTCACAGTTTCTGGATGACCCTCACAGAAACTGCAATTAGTGTTTATGTCGCTTTTAAATTTTACCATATAGTGTTTAGCAGAGTAAATTTTATGGAGAATTTTAAATGACACTTCCTTCACCTTGTTTACAATGAAATATTTATGGGGGATCATCCAAACTGTTTTCCAGTGAATATCTGGGATATAACAGCTCCAGTAAAATGTTATAGCTGGACGAGAAACAATAAGTTCTTGGAACAACCTGCCTATTCTCTCATTGCTTTTCCTAAACTCCAGTGAAAAACAGATTTTTCCCACAGATGATTCGGCTGGATCAGGGATACCAGGTGGAACAGACAGAGTATAATTAGTGCTTTTAAACAACATTAAGGTGCCCAAAGGTACAGCATTAACCACCATGGAGAATTCCTGGATACCAACTGGAAAATTATATATCGAGCAGAATTCATTGTAATTGATTAATCGTCCTCCTTTATTAATCAGCTGAGCCACCAGTGAAATTCCATTTTGAACCCAAGTTTCAAGATAGAGTGACCTATTTTTAAACAAAATATCTCTGTTGTTCCACATGAGGTATTTGTGAGGTGAGAAGTTATGTTTATATATGAGCGTCCTCGCTAAGAGCACCTGCTTATGGAAAGATGAGAGTTTTACAGGAAGTTTCTCAACACTGTAATTACAATGTAAAATGAAGTTGAAGCCACCAAAGCGCGAGAAAATGTGTTCCGGTATAAGGTAGATAGAGGCTGGATTCTTAAGGAAGTGTTTAGCCCATTTAGTTTTAAATGTGTTATTTGGGTAGAGAAATCCAGAAAGTTAAGTCCACCTGATTCATAATTATTCATAATAACAGTTTTTTTGATATAGTGAGTACGATTTTTCCATATAACATTAAGCAGCATACGATCAATGTCTCTACAGATTTTGTTGTCTAAATGTAAGGGGAGAGCAGCATAAGTCAGTCGGGATAATCCTTCAGCTTTAGTAATCAATACTCTTCCTCTTAGAGATAAATCCCTCTGAAGCCACTGGTTCAGTTTATTTTTGGTTTTCTGTATAATTGGTATTAAATTAGAGGAGCATCTTAACTTCTGGTCTTTAGAGATTAAGATTCCTAAATAAGAAACTTCTTGTTTAACAGGAATATTGCAAATATCATTAGCATGACAATCCTTAATCGGTAGCAATTCACATTTTTTTAAATGTAAAAATAAGCCGGAGGCCTTGGAAAAAGTATTAATCACCTCTAAGGCCAGAGGGATCTGGTTTGCATTCCTTAAAAATAGTGTGGTGTCATCAGCCAGCTGGCTGATTATGAGCTCTTTATTAGCTGTGCTGATTCCTTGTACGGCACTATTGGAGATATGAGTTGTAAGGATTTGAGAGCAAAGTAAGAATAAATATGGTGAAACGGGAATCCTTGACGAATGCCACGTTTAAGGTCAAATCTAGGGGTGGAGCCGTTTGCCAATTTAATCGCACTATTGCAATTGGAGTATAATGTTTTGACTGTGTTACAAAAAACGGCCAAAACCAAATTTTTTTAAAGATTGAAAAATGAATTGATGTTCAATTGTGTCAAAGGCCTTATAGAAATCCAGGAAAAGAATAAAACTTTCATCAGGCACCAAATATGAATAATCAAGTAAGTCTAGAACTAGTCTAATGTTGTTAGTGTTTGTTCCTCATAAAGCCTGATTGTGTCTCATCAATAACTGTGTCCAAAACCTCTTTAACTCTGTAAGCAAGTATTGAAGCCATAATTTTATAATCATTATTGAGTAGACTTATAGGTCTCCAATTATCAAAGAGTGGGTCTTTGTTTGGTTTTGGAATGTTATTAGGCCTTGAGTCAGAGTGTTGTTCTCTATACTTTCTAGAAATACCTGTAAGAGAAATGGAGCTATATGATTAGAGAATGATTGATAAAACTCAGCAGATAAACCATCTGTGCCGGGGGATTTATTGGCCTTCAGTGCATTGATGCACTTAGAAATTTCCTCCACGGTAAATGGGCTGTCACAGTAGTTTCTATCTTCTACATCAATAGTTTGTAAATTTTTAATATTGTTAAGAAATGATACTGAAATCTCTTTATTATATTTTGAGCTGTATAAATTAGAGCAAAATTTGGCACAAAAAGATGCAATTTCTTTAGGATTGTTTGAGATAATGTCATTGATATTTAGTTTATTTTTGATCTGTATTTTTCAAGCCTAAAAAAGTGAGCAGAATTTTGTTCTCCTTCTTCCAGCCATCGTTTCCTGGATCTGACGAAGGCGCCTTCAGCCTTGTGTTTGTACAAGGCATCCAGTTTGTTCTGATTTTCTATTAAATTTAATTTATCTTCCTCTGAAACTTCTTCTGGGCATTTTAGGTAATAGGAGGTGATCTTGCTTATGACTTCTTCCTCTTCAGCTTTCTTTAATTTAGAAATCTGACTTCCATAATGTCTTAAAAATTTGCCAATTTCAAATTTGAAAAGTTCCCAATTGTTGCAGAAAGACCATTCCTTTTACCCTTATTCCAATAATATATCATTAATTTATTAATATGAGCTTTAACTATTTAATGCTTCAGCATTAAATAGTTTCCAGTAAGCACATTTGTAAGATGTATTATCAGGAGTATAAATTTGGATGCTAATGCGAATAGCTCTATGATCAGTAAGAGGGGTGGCAAGTATGTTAACAGCAATGTTGTGTTTATTAATACATTTGGAAATAAGCCAAAAATCTACCCAGGATTGTCTGGAACCTATTTTATTGCTCCATGTAAAGATTTTGTCATCTGGGAATTTTTCTCTCCATATATCTACAACATTAAATTTCTCCATAAAATGTTTTAAATTAGCACTGATGAGGTCTGCTGAGGAGGAGGCCATCTGTCGATCGTATTGTCTAAGGTAATGTTAAAGTCCCCACCAATTAAAATGATTATTTGGAAAGCCAAAAAGCAATTCTGTCTTCTAATGATTCGAATAGTTTGTTGTTTTCTGTTATATTATTATAACCGTATATATTAACTACAATAAAGGTATTGTTAAGGCATTCGATTACTGAGCAGATGTAGTGACCTAGAGCGTCGCAATCAGTATGTAATATAGATGCAGAAAAATTATTTTTAAGTGTGGCGACACCAGCGGAGCGCTCAGATCCACATTTCATTTCCCCACTGGGATTTCCAGAAATTACCGTCAGAAGATGTAGAACGACTCTCTTGAAAAAAACAAAAATCTGTTTTAAATTGTTTGGCAAATAAGAATAATGCTTTGCGTTTGCCTGTTTGTCTCAACCCCCTGACATTGAGAGATACAAATGAAACGGACAAAGTTATTTAGAAAGAATAACAAAGAATAAAGAACAAGATCTAAACTTTTAAAGATAAAGTTGTGTTCACAAAGAAAGGGGACCGACAGCTGCACGCTTTAAGTAGTAAAGCGGTAAGAAGCCTGACTAAATAATTACAATACAAGAGAAACAAAGGAAATGTAGCACTTTGCTATCTATTTTGGTTTAACTATAGTATATTAGGATCTTGCAACAAGAACAAGGTAAGTCTTCATAACTAAATTATATATTGACTAGAGGAGAATATATAATGTTTAAAAGGAACTAGAAGTGAAAGCAAAGTGTAGACCAAGCTCAGCGTGTAAATGAAAAGGTGAAATTATCATTTCTAAGGATTCGTTGAGTATGAAGGAGGGAAGACTTCTAATCCGCTGATAAAGCCACGACCTCCAACGAAGTAACCTGGTTTACCTTCCTTGTGGGCTCTGTCTATCAAGGGCCAAAGTTTATTGCGTCGTTCTCTGTCATCCTTGTTCAGGTCCTCAGTGAATCTCAGTTGGTTGTCCTTCAGGTACGAAGATGTCTTGGCTGCTTTCCATGATGCATCCCTGAGGACTCTGGAGGTGAACTGAATGATGATCCCTCTAGGTTTGGTGCTACCTGTACGTTTGGCTCCAAGACGGTGCACAGTGTTGATGGCATCGGGCAGCTTGTGTTTATGTTCTGGTAAACTGACTGGCAGATTTCTATCACTTTTCTTCGTATGTCTTCTTTCTCTGTTTCTTCAGCTCCTTGTAGTTTGAGATGCCACCTCCTGGAATATCTTTCCAACTCAGCAAGCCTCTGCTGGTAGTTATCCACCCGACCTTCTTCTCTTGTAACTCTTTTTTTCCAGGTCATTCACTTTCACCTTCACATCATTCATTTCAGCGCATATAAAGTCAAGTCTTTTTGAGACCCTCAGTCTTTAGCGTGTTCTCCTCCACCATGCTCTCTAGGTTGTCAGAACGGGCGTTTATCAGCGCAGACAGACTGGATATGATCTCATTTGTAGCAGAAGGCTCCGGGTTGCTGCGTTCATACATCACCTTCTTCGGTGCTGGCGATTTCAGAGGAGTAACAGGTAGGGCAGGAAAGTCGGCAATTTCCTCCTCATTCAATGTCAAAGTTAAGGGGGCAGCTGCGTAGTTGTGGCAGTTATCAAATAACGCGTTACCGGTTGTAGCGTTAGCCTCATTAGCCTCGTTAGCCTCGTTAGCCGTCTCAGACGCAGGCCTGGACTTGGATGTTTCTAGACCTCTTTTCGCTCCTTTCTGGTTCGGCATTCTGTTATAACTGCTATGTATGTTGTCTTGTAGAAAATCAATAGTGCTATTGTTCATATAGTCAGGGCTTTACCGCGTTTTATGAATTTTTGTGCAGATCTCGGTATAGAGCGTCTCCTCACTCCGCCATCTTGAGCCGAGCTCCGACGCCTCCATATTTAATTATATATGACGCTATTCTGAAGGAGGCCATATTATAGCTCATCAGGGCCGTGAAATCTTTACAACAAACCAAAATTAAGCTTTTATTTCACACAATTTCATCAAAGTTTTG